ACTACTACTAGTACTCGTGCTGCTGCAGATGGCGGTACTGCTTCCAACACGATAATCCCATATAATACCAAGGTCGCGCGCATTTGCTGTCCGTCAACCCGCGCCGTCTGGTTCAACACATAAAAACGCGGCTCTGGTGCGGGAAGCCTTGCATGAGCCTGCTCACTCCTCAGCTCCTCATGTGTGTCGGAGCAGTTTTCTTGTACCGCTTGCAGAATTCGCAGTCGCGACTTGAGACTGATGAGTGCGCCAGTGCGATCATTTACGCCGCGACCAGACATCTGCCAAGAGAGAAGGTGACGTGCCGCTGGCCACCCCATCGGAATGACAAGCCCGTCAGCCACGAAGGCCGAATAGAAATACGTCGAGTTGGATGTCTTTCTTTGCCGTACTATCGTAACTGACCAAATTCTGTGTACTCCGTAATGCTCCATAAGCCCGCCTGCAGCCGTGGCAAAAAGCCGAATCTTAAAAGTGTAACGCGGTAACAGCGCCAGTCCGGTGCAGTTTATTGCGGCCACGCACCCGGCAAAGCGAGAAGTATCTTCAGAAGTTGGGGCCTTCCTAAAACACACATATAATTACATGAACCTTTTTTGGGGAGAGACTCTTCGCTTGCCCTCTGTTACATAAACTCAAACATCCTAAAACCCTAGCAGGCTAAACTCTAAGAGCTTCATGCCTAAAGCCCGACAAACCCCAAGCCCTAAATTTGGAGATTCTTTTTATTTGAACCCAGGCTCTTTGCTATCAGCTGGGCAGCAAACTCCCAAACCCGGGAGCCTGGCCTAAGGAATGAAACCCTCGACCCGCCTCATCCTCCAGGCCAACCTCTGGAGGGGCAGGGACGATGCCCGGAAGACCCGCGACGGGCATCGGAAACCTGGGTCTCAAAAGGGACGTCGGTATCGGGGTTTGAATGGTTTGGGTTGGTGCCGGGGCTTACCTGGCGACCGCCGCGGGGGCAACGGTCACATCAGGAGCGCCTCGCACGCCTGTGTCATCATTGGTTGGCATGTAGTTGCTTGTGGTTCTGCTTCTGCATTTGAAAAGTTACCACCTGCGGGTTGCACGACACAAGACCGGAATCACAGCGGCAAGCTATGCTGAATTTTCATGTTCAGCTACAAAGTGCGTGCGGGCTGATGCCTGCATCTGGACTTCACCTTTAAAGCAGCTTTCAATGCTTGTCCGCCCAATGCCCGCTTCACTTGTTCGGCAAAAGCTCACATTGACATGAGACCTATCGCACTTCTCCAGCCCGAGCAGCTCGTTCTGAACCACCTTCAAGCGCTTTGGACCAAAAACGCCTTGGATGATGGCTTAGCTCATACGGCTCACAGAAGACTGAGCTGCAGCTCCCAAATTGTGTTGTCGGGGAGTCTTGCTTCGCATCGGTGGCAGTGCTGTGTGAATGTCAGCGCAAAGTGGCATCTGTTTGTTGCATTGGCCCCTTTCTCATTTGCTCACAGCCTCGACCTCGTTCAAGTTCAGACCAAACTACATCAGGTCACGCATACATGCTTGATCTCGCTCTACGTCTACGTGGCGCCCCTATCTAGCTCCCCTGGTAGAGCAGGTCTCGACTTCAAACGACTGCCACCTACAGACAACTGCACTATTTCACAAATCGAAGCAACCAGCCTGCCCAAAGCTATGGTCATCTAGCAAGGCCTCTTTGGCTACACGTGTTCACCCATGCCCGAGGGCGCTTCAGCGCCTCTTCGCTCCCTATCTGCTTGCTCCACTTCAAACTAGCCACGGATGGTGACTTTTGATCGCTGCATTGGCCGGCCAGCTGCCTCATCATCGCAAGTTTTCAGGGAACTGGGTTCTCCGGAAAGCGGGCGTGGCCGAGAGCCATCACAGTCTGCAAGAGGCTGCAAAATCTGCAAAGACAGCCCAGCCAAATCGCTTTGGAACCTTGGTGGGGGTTGTGTGGCCAGGCCAGCGCCTGGCTGTTCATCGCGGAAAAGGAGACCGCTACCCAGCCAAAGCCTGAACAAGCCGCTGCCGGAGCTATGACACTTGGCTAAATAACTGCATAGAGGCATAGAATCCAAGAACATACGGAACATGGGTTGCCTGTGAGGGAGATGTCCGACGTGACGTGGCCATCCAGCGACAGGGCGTCGGGGGTTCTGACATAGCCTTGACAACGCTCACAAGAAGAAAGCAACGATCGAGACAGAAATGCCACAATTGCACTTTCAGCAGGGACATTGACATTGGACTCCTTCAAATTCATATGTAGATGCGATTGCACTCAGGCAGGACCTCCCTTGAAGCTTGACTCGGCTTGTTCCCTGAAGCCAGTTGTACGATCGAGCAGCAAAGCTGCGCCAAGTGCAGACCATCTGGCGGATCGGGATAGCCCCGGCCGTCCTCTCGCTGAGCACATCTCTCATGGCGTTCTTAGACTGGCGACTCAAGAGTTAGGAAAGCGGCAGTAAGTTCATTACCCAGTCTCCTTGTTCAACAATATAAAATCGACCTCCACATGCCGACTGCCAAGCCGGTCCTCGCCACCCTTGGGCACATTGGCAATGCAGCTGACGACCTTGGCTAAAGGGGCCGGATTACACGAAGGAGGCTCTGCACGCACACAGGCTGCTCACTGCATCTGTGCTGCTACACCAAAACCAAGTTAAACTAAGTTTCCGTCCAGGGCACAGTGGCCAATGTTTCCAATATCCCAAATTACATATGGCTAGAATCAGACCCCACGTCAAATCGTCGATTGACCTCCTACCAGCTCCAAAACACTCCGCTCCTCCGATGTAAAAATGCAGAAAAGGGTACACATTTATCTGTACATTGCATCGACACCATATTCTGCCCAACTGAAAGCGAATCGGTGAGGGAGCACAAGGTTGTGCACGCCCACGAAGGAGAGTTGGAGTTGAGCGCTGACAGGTGGGTAGACCTGCCACGGGACTCACTGGAGTCACTACTTATTTTCAGGACGATCAAGTGCCTCTCCTTAAAAACCTACAAAGATTTGCTGGACAGCTTAACTGAGAGTTAGGTAAATGAAAACTCGTGATCTTTTGGCGGCATGGGGTCAAAAATGCGCTTGGGCCTCGATAGCTGCAACTGGCGGCTGGCCGGGGAAGCCCCAAATATACCGCACAGGCCGGTCCAGCCACCGCCTTGCATGAGCCCCGTTCCGGCCCAACTGCACCACCCGAAGGTTCGCCATCTTGTGTACATGTACAAAAAGCTTCATGCATGGAACTCCATTTCGCAGGTAAACTCCGAAGCAGTTGAACCATCTGGGAATAGAATTGTGCATCTGTTGCCCCCTCTTTGGCCTGCAATGTCAACAGCTTCTGCCTCTAAACTGACAACTCGAAGATCTTGTAAGCAAGGCGGAACTCTTGCAGCGAGGATGCTTCAAGGTCTCCGGTGTCACCTCCTCCCCACTGGCCTTCAAGGTTAAAACCGAACACCCATGTTTTTGAGACGGCCAGAGCTGAGGCATCTTTTTGCGAAGGAAGCACGAGATCCCTTGAGAAACCGCTTTCGCAAGTGATGGTAACGCATGCATGCATACAGACAGACATGCACGCACGACGCTTTCAGGCAGGCAGCCAGGCAGGCAGGCACAATGTATGTGTGCTGACTGACAGACCGACAGACCGACCAACAGACAGAAATACATCCATCCATCCATCCATCCATCCATCCACCTATCCATCCATGTGAAATCATGTGAACATACATACGCACATATACACACAGAATCACATACTACATTACTATATGCATACAGACCGCCCGACAGATAGGCAATGCACGCCGCGCCGAGCCAGTGAGGTCATGTCAGCCACGTCTGAAGACATGCCCCACCCAGTCCCAAACCGCGCCAGCCAACACCTCATAGGAGAACACCCCAAAGGAAGAGATCCACAGCTTGACAGCATGCGTAGCACGGGATCCTCCTGCCAGGTCGTAATTGTGGAAATGTACTGCGACACACAACATCATCCGACCAAAGCTGCCTGCAGCACCGGAAGGCAGTTTTTGCGGACACCAGGATGAAAGCGAGCCAACGAATAGACGAGGCGACCATTCGTGAGAAGTGCAGGTGTCGCAGTTCGACCTCATGTTGTAATTAAACGGTTTACATTACATGAAGGTGTTAGTTTTCACTCGCAATGTGCGTCAGGATTCCTGACGTAACGCGTTTAGCCACCTGTTCGACTCATAGCAGACAAGGTTGCAGATGCCGCAGACGCCGCAGAGCTTACCATTTTCAGGGGTCAATACTCGTGTTTCCACTTTCAAACTTGATTCGCCCATCTTTGTCAAGTATTCTGCAGATGCGTAATCCAATGCAAGATGGGCTTGTCCGCCAGACTGCTACTGCTACCTGTTTCATCACGACTGCGACTGCGACAACCAATGGAACTGCTACCAATAAAACGAGCAACTCTAAGGGCCGATGCTACAGTCACTAATTGTTGTGACGTGGTTCATCTTCTTGCAGGGATTGGGGGCACTGGTCACGCGAGAAAGCCACGCCTTGAGCTCCCGGAGGACATCTTTGCCCGGACAAACGGTGTGCACGCCGAATTTCCTGACGTGGTCGCTGTGGTGCTGGTCGTAATCGTAGCAATAGTCGTCGACGTGGAAGTGCAGGCAGAAGCAGAAGTGCAAGGAGTTCAAGCGGTAGTGTAGTAGTGATAGCAGCAGCAGCAGCAGCAGCAGCAGCAGCAGCAGCAGCAGTAGTAGTAGTAGTTGTAGTTGTAGTTGTAGTTGTAGTTGTAGTAGTAGTAGTAGTAGTAGTAGTAGTAGCAGTAGCAGAAGCAGTAGCAGTAGTAGTAGCAGTAGCAGTAGTAGTAACAATAATATTAATGATATCATTACTAGTAGTAGTAGTAGTAGTAGTAGTAGGCGCCCCATCCGTCTTACTCGGTATTTACAGCACT